AAAAAAAAAAAAAAAAAGAAAGAAAGAAAGAAAAGGAAAAGGAGAGAAAAGAAATGGATTCCTCCTTCAGGCCTCCCAGATAGTATCAAGGAGCTGCAACTTACCAGATCATTGCATCTGGACAATGAGAACCCAGACTCCTCATTAGTCATGATTGCCTAACCAATCACCTATTCCAACTCCTCTTCCTAATTTCTGTTTTCCCACACACAGTTACAATTCTTCCCTGCTATACAAACCCTGATGTTGGCCAGTCAGGGAGATGGATGTGAGACTGATCTCCCATCTTCTTGGCTGCAGTACTCAATTAAAGCCTTCTTCCCTTGCAATATTCATTGTCTCAGTGATTGGCTTTCTGATTGGCAAGCAGCAGGACCTAGATCCAACCCCTGGTGTTTCAGTAACAGATTCTGCGCAGTATTAACACGGCAGCCTCCAAGACAAGAGAAGGCAATTGGTCCTTTCTGTGAAAGCCAGGACAGAATATCAAGAAATGTCTATCTCCTGGCTCACAATGGCCTTGGGGCCATGTTCTCTATCTCTTGAGTACTGAAGAACAGAGAAGTCTCAGAAGGCTGATGCTGGGAAGGTGAAAAGAAATAAGAGGATGGAAGGAGGTGTTGGAGAAAATAAAAACAAAATCTCTGGCTAACCCAGAAAATCCCATTCGCAAATGTAGAAAAGAAAGAGAACAGTTTTAATATCAAATAATATTAAACCAGACTGTGAAGCACATAATAGACAATCTGCTAATCAGATGCCAAAGACAGAAAGAGATCTCACTTTTTATCTAGTTGAGAAGATACAATCTATTACAAACATGTCCTCAAAATTAAGGGTAATTTGCCCTCGTGTAAGAGGATTTGAAATTGTTTGCTGTACAATTTTTCATAGTTCATTCTAAATGCACCTGGTAATTGGGGTAGCCACCTATACCAGTTAATTGCCTTTCTCAAAAAGAAAAAATACAACTTTTATCTATGACAAGCCGGCGGTTACCAGTTTGAAGGTAAGCACCTAAGCTAAAGTTACAACGTGACAGGGAGGTAAGGGCACTATCTTCTTCATCGCTTACATTTCAAAGAGATGGCTCACCAGGCTTTTGGGGGAAACATTCCTATTTTGTAAAGTTGGCAGATGCTTATTCAGCCTTTCAAAAGTATTGGGTACATATCACAAGGGCACTTACACAGATTTCTCATGGAAATATTCCAAAAGTGGGAGGTCAGGTTTATTTCCCTTTCAGCAACAAGCAAAATTTAATTCGATTTGTATTTGCCATTACTATTTAAATGCTCCTCCCATCTGATCTGCAAAACCCCAATTGCTGCATTGCAGAAGGTACCAGCATAGCCCAGTTTTAAATATATATATATAACTCCCGGGCTCAAGCCATTCTCTAGCCTCAGCCTTTCTCGGGGTTACAGAGATTACAGGCATGCGCCTCCACAACCGGCTCTAGTAGTCCAGATCTGAACCAGCATCTTAGATAAGAGGCCATTGAGCCAGACTCCAGCCTGAGTGATGCTTCCATCCTCCTGGAACTTGATGAGTCTGTCACTAATTAAGAGGACTTCGACATGAGAAGGTGACTACAGGGCACCCATAGGAGTGTACTGGTGTTGAGAGTAAGAGCTCAACTGAGATGCTGGGAGGCAGCTTTGCCTTGCCTGTGTCCCACAGGCGTCACGAAGTCGAATTTACATGGTTCTCGAAAGGTACTGAGGAACTATGTTAAAGAAACTTTTCTCCCCTGGTCGCTAGGGGAGGGGTTTCAAGTGCAGAATTTCCCTTTTCCCGCCTCAGGCGGGGGCTCTTGGAGCACTTTTCTCCAAGCCTTCATCCCGAGACCAGAGGGGATTCAAATGCAGGAATTTTCCGGCTCCCCCGCCTCAGGCAGTTAGGGATCTTTGAGCACCTCCACCAGGTGGGCCAGGTAAATTCTTTGTCCTATCTTCCCGCTTCGCGAAAACCGGTTGGGACTATTTCGTCCCAAATTCCCGCGGAAAGCTCTGGGAGGAAGGGGTTCTGTAACGCAGGGTTGTAGAACAAGTCGCCAATTTGCTATCAGAGTCAAAGATCAATCACTCCAGAGAAAGTTTAAAAGATCTCCTCTCTCTCAGAATCCAGGCTCCAAAACATAAAAAAGAACTCCTCTCATTGGAGGAAAACATTAATGGGGAGGGAATAACTCAAGGGTTAAAACTTCAGCTGTGCTCCTACCTGAACGATTTTCCTTTCTGGGTTCCCCTCCCACCACAGTGTGGGAGCTGTCTTCTCTCTCTCTCTGTGTCTAATAAACCGCTCTTCCACAAAAATTCTTTGGGTCCACGATTTTATTCGGACGGTAAACTCACTGCGCTTCCGGGGCCCCTTTCCCCATTCTTGGGGGTAGGGTGGCCAAGAATCTACAAGCTGGGTACTCCCCCGGTAACAGCAGTTAGCATGCCATGGAGCCTCAGCCCAAGGAATTCGGCTGGTTGGGTGCAGGAAACTGTATCCAATGCACGCCTAACAGCCACGAACCGCTCCCGCTAGATTCGCAAATCAGAAATGGCTTCTCTCGTGGACCCCAGCTTCCGGAAGCGCCTGCGGAAGCTCCCGCAGAGGCTTATGGGGAGTGTAGTCTTTTTTTTTTTTTTGAAGGGCGGGCTGAGGGGACAGAGACTTCACTCGGGAGCCAGAACCAGTTTTCAGCATGGGATTTTAAGAGAAGAGAAAGGCTGTCACTGCAGTAGTCACTGTCCTGGTAAATTAACCGTTGCACGGCCCAGAGGCGGCTCCGTGGCGACCAATGGGGGCCGAAGACTGCGAGGATGCTGGAACTGTAGCTCTGGCATAGGTCAGCGCATGAGGTCTGAGGGAACTCGCCTGCTGGCTCTGGTGAGCTCGGCCTCCACCGCTCCGTGGCCCCAGGATGCCCCCTCTCGTGGGGAAAAGAGGGTCTGGAAAGGCCGGGCCTAGGTTAGGACGCGGGGCAGAGTGTGGCCGATGGAGAGTGCAGGCTGGGTTATTTGGTTTTTGGAGGAGGGGGCGCGGCTTGCGTTGCCCACTGGGGCCAGGCGTTGGGGTGAGCACCAGGTCGCTGGTAACCTTGGGGCCGCCGGGACTTCCGCGGACCTTTCTTCCTCCGCTAGGACGAGAGTGACCTGGAACTCTGTCTGTCTTAAACCAGGCGGGATTATTCTGGGTCAACCAGTTTAAGAATAAGGAGGGCGGCCCCAGTCCTGCGTCCTGGGGTTTCTGTGGGTTGTGGGAATGAGTTCAGCCAGGGCCAAATGGACGACCATCCCCGAGGCTAGGGTAGGAACGTGTCTAGGTCCGCACATCCCTGGGTGGTTTTGGCTGGGGAGCTTTTTCAGCCCTGCATCTCTGAATGGTTGTGGGAATACAGGGCTGATCGTGGATGCCAAGGTTTTATTTTTTGTTTTTCTGTTTTTTGGGTGGGCTGGATATGTCCCAAGTGGTGACGGGGGTGAGGTGAGGGGTAGGCCATTTCAGGCCTTGATGCTTGATGGGCCTTGGTTTATTAGGGGTTCCAGGGGTGGTCAAAATATCCTTAGAGGGTCTGGGCGAGTGTCTTGGGTCAGGAGTCCCTGGGGTTTTTAGGGAGGTTTTTTGAATGGGGGCAGGTCTTTTCTCTGGGACCTGATGTCCCAAGGTGTGTCATGTGGTAGGTGCCCCTGTGCTTTTCAGCAAAGATCCTCGGTTTGGTTTTAATCTGGGTGGACTGTCTGGCTGACTTCTTCTTTACTTGTCTGCTTTTGCCTCACATGTTAGGGCCAAATTTCTGGTTTGTGCTGTGAAGGGTTAGGTAGGATGGGGAACTCTGGGGGCTTCTGATTGACAACCCAAATCACTTCTGGCATATGGTGAGTTCCAGGTATCTGACGTTTAATTTTATTTTTAATTTTTTGGTAGGGACACATTTTAAGTCTACCCAGTAGAGACATAAAGTGAACTGCCATGGACCTGTTCACCATATTCAACCTTTGTTAACTCATGGCCAATTTTGTTTCGCATACATCCCCTCAACCCTATGTGTGGATACTTTAGGAATTGTCAGACTCCAGAAAGATTGGTCACTGCTGACATTATTACTGGCCCAACTGGCTAAGGGTGTGGTGCTCCGCAGCTAGACTTCAAATTGAGGCACTTTCTAGCATTGTCATTTTGAGGAAGGTATATAACTCATGGAGTTTTGGGGAGGTAAAACTTGTATGGTGCCTGGAATTGCCTCTGGTATACAGTAAGAGTTTAGTAAGTGTTAACTATTACTAATAATATTACAGCTTGAGGCCCATAGGCATTAAAGGGATAAATATGTAATAACAGCTTGTCAGGACAGACTGTATTCTGATGTCCCCATGTGGCTCTGTCCCCTAGAAGCTGTTTACATTCTTCTCTTCTCTGACAGATATGAGGCTTTCTTGTTAACGGGAGAGGAGCCCTGCTCATTTTAAACTTGGGGATTTCTAGCCTCCATATCTGGGTGCTAGAAGATGATCCTGAAGCTCACACTGCCTGTTTCACTCTCAGGTCCACCTTCTCCAATCCCTGTCTCCCAGGAGAAGACTATCTCTTGAGAAAGGAAGGAGTTCTGTGCCCCTGAGAACCTACTGTCTGGTAGGTACCACTTACCTTTCATATTCCCATAGTGTCTTTTCTGCTCAAAACCATGTCTGAATTTCCTTTGCCCATCTGATGTCTTGTACTTTGAAGTCTAGCAATTGAGGCTTAAGGCCTTGCTTGTATTTCCACAATACTGGGAGGATTTTAAGGGCAAGGATCTCCAAGGGGAATTATCACCCCAGACTGGTACTTTCATTCAGGTGACCACCATCAATTGCCCCAGCCATATTTCATCTTAGCTGCTGGATTCCCAGGGCTCTCTCAGCTACTGTGAAATAAAAAATGGTGGTGATCACCATTTATTGGGCCATTGTTCTGTGCCAGGCAACTGGGTTTATATCTCCACAATATTTTAAACGCTCAACAATTTGAAAGTTAGGAATCAAAACTCTGAATTGATAGAAGTGGCAGGTCACAGAGTTTAAAAAACTTACCTGGGCAATATGGCTGGGTTCGGTAGAATTAGGATTTAGAGGTTCTTCAATTATCAACATTCTATAATCCCTGTTTCATTGAGCCCCCCTCCACCTGCCTCATTTTCTTGTTTTTGCTACTGGAGTATTTGGAAGGAAATCCCAAACATCACATAATTTTACCTATAAATTTACTATCTCATGCATTTCCAACAGAGAAGGACTATTTGTTAAATATGTAACCATAATATTATCACATTCAACAAAATTGACAGTAATTCCTTAATATCTTAATTCCTAGAGTGTTTGAAAATCTGCCCATTTCTTCTAAAAAAAACCATTGCTTAGTTCAAACTATACACCTAACAATTCAGGTAAGAAGTTTAAGAGGGAGAAGTATCTGGAATTCAGCAAGGCCAATTCTCCCTCTCCCTTTTCTCTTTACCTGCTGCTAATTTCTGTTAATGACTGTGCCTTCCACTTCTGGTCACCAACAGAAGCTCTGAGTCCTTTTTGCCCACTTGTTCTTTCTGAAATTTTCGCCTTTCTAATTAGCGACGGAGTCCTCTCCATTCTACCTTGGCATATCCCTTTATTCCTTTCCCCTCATCTCACTGCTGTGCTACCCAGATTTTTTTCTCTTCTCCACATTCTAGTTCACCCTCCACCCTGCCTTTTGAGTTGCTTCTCTGAAGGAAAAATAAGGATCATGCCACTCATCTACTCAAGAGGGCCATTTCTTATTGCCTACCTTCAACTCTGTCCAAACTCAATAATTAGAGTATGAGGCCATGAGTGGTGGCTCGCACCTGTAATTTCAACACTTTGGGAGGCTGAAGGGGTGGACTGCTTGAACACAGCCTGGGCAACATGGTGAAACCCTGTCTCTACTTAAAATAGAAAAATTAGCTGGGCATGGTGGTGCACACCTGTGGTCCCAGCTACTAAGGAGGCTGAGATGGGAGGATGGCTTTGGCCTGGAAGGTGGAAGTTCCAGTGAGTCGAGATCGCATCACTGTACTCCAGCCTGGGTGTGAGCTCTGGAGACAGACTGCCTGGGTTCAAAGCCCGTCTTTACCACACATTGGCTGTGCAACCTTGCAAACATTATTTCACTCTCTGTGCCTTTTACTCCTCATCTGTAAAATGGTGAAAATAATAGTGCCCAACTCATGGAGTTGTGTGGAAGAAACGTGGTAATTTTTATACGGTCTGGCAGATAATTCCTATAAGGTAGTGCCTGGCACATAGTATATGCTTACTAAATATGGACTGTGATTGTTAGTATTGAGATCTGATTAATATCTGAATTATCTCTCAACTCACCTTTTCAGTCTTGTCCCTACAATTTACTCCCTTTGTTGTGCCCTTGTAGTCGTGTGGGAATAGATTCCATTCTGTGCTGTTTTATTCCTCTGTGGTTTTTTTGCTTGGCAATCAAACTCCTATTGATTTAGTCACACATTTATTCCATTGCAAAGCATGCCTGGATTTTTTTCAGGCAAAGTTGTCTGCAGGCTCTTCTTTAGCACCAAAGCACTTTGTTTTTGTTTTGTTTGTTTGTTCGTTTGTTTGTTTTAAGATGGAATTTTGCTCTTATTGCCCAGGCTGAAGTGCAATGGCGTGATCTTGGCTGCAACCTCCACCTCCTGGGTTCAAGTGATTCTCCTGCCTCAGCCTCCTGAGTAGCTGGGATTACAGGCATGTGCCACCATGCCCTGCTAATTTTGTATTTTTATTAGAGACGGGGTTTCACCATGCTGGTCAGGCTTGTCTCAACTCCCAACCTCAGGTGATCCACCCGCCTTGGCCTCCCAGTGTGCTGGGATTACAGGCGTTAGTCACCAAACCTGGCCTAAAGCAAGCCACTTTATATATGAGTACTTTGTTGAACTGGACCATGAAATGGCTCTTTAAGGATCAGGGACCTCTTGCTTATTTTGTGTCACTGACATGGTGCCTAATAACTAGCAGGACTAAATAAGTCTTTGTGAGCATTGAGCAGCCCTGTTTCCTGGCTGTGGAGGAGCCATATGGGCCAGGATGGGGTTGGGGGGGTGGCTCAGATTGAGAAGTGGGTTGGGCCATTATTAAGAAAGGCCAGGATACCAAGTTGGTGAGTTGGACTTCATTCTGTGGCCATTAGGGAACCACTTGAAGGTTTTGAGCTACTTTTGAGTGTGATCTCTCCCTTTAGCTATTACCCCATTTCTCTGCTTTCCTTTATAGCAAACCTTCCCAAAAGAATGGTCTATACTTGTTACCTCCAGTTCCTATTTTTCCATTCTGTTTTAAATCCTTTTGTAGCCCACGCTCCAGAAACTGTTCTTGTCAAGGTCACCAGCAGCCTCCACTGTGCTACACCCAGGAGTGAATTTCCAGTCTTTATTTTACTCTGTCTTCTTGGCAGCAGTTCCTGTGGTCAATCTCTTCCTCCTCCTTGACACACCTTGTCCTTGGGCTCCAGAACTGTATGCACCTCTCCTTTTCTTTCTCCCTCACAGGCTACTTCTCCGTCTGCCTTGCCAGTTCTTTTTTTTTCCTGGCCTCCTAACTGTAGAGTCCTCCGGAGCTTAGTCCTTGACGATTCTTTCATCTTCCTCCTCTGCCTTGCTGATCTCCTCTACTCTGAGGACTTTCAATCCATCTGTATGACTCTAGCATTGACCTCTTCCTTCCACTTCAGTCTTGGATGACTAATTGCCTACTTGTAATCTCCACTTGAACCTGTATTAAGCATCTCAAATCTAGTCTCAAACATCAAACTTTGTTCTGCTCCCCCAGATTTGCTCCAGTTATGGCTTTCCTCACACCTGTTGATGGTAAGTCTTATCCTTC